TGGACTGTTTTACCTCTATTTTAATAATTGATACCTAAGAGGACAAGCTATTATTCATAAAATACTTTGCAGAACCCAGAATTTCAGCAGGAATGTGATTAATGTGACTTTGATCAAACATTTTGCAAGACAGATTTTAATTTGACTTTATAAATCGCTTCTTTCTCACTATGATAAAGTCAAACACAAAACTACTGAATGGAATTAAATATGAGAACAGAGAACAAATTTTGAATAAACAATTAAATGCTCATGTGTTTGCCTTTAACATCATTTATATAGAGTATATAACTCTCTATATAAGTATATCCAATTTGGATAAAGACAAAAAGAGAAAAACAATAAAAATTGAAATAACACACTATATTATAGAAAAATATTTCAGTGAAAAAATGAAAACATAAATGTTCTCAAAGAAACAAAAATACACCAATCTCTTATATTTCCATCTTAAAGACAAACACAAATTTACAAGATGTGGATTCTCTCTGCTGATGGTTGAGGTTACTCTCACTTTTCTTTTCCTTGTCATTTACTTTAGGAAACTGTAAATATTTTCCACCTTTGGGATTTATGCAATTCCTTTGAAGACTCATTTTGCAATGTAACAATTTTATCATACAGGTAGCTCTTTCCCAAGAGCCTTAAACATTTCACAAAATAAGCAGAAGACAAAGCAGTACCCACACCCTCACTTCCTGCGTGCACCTTTCACCAAGTTGCAAAGATGCTTCTGAAAATATTGCCTTTCCCCCTCTAGATAAAGCCAAGGTGGTCAGTGAATTTTAAGTAAAGTCGGTATTACCTGTGTTCGACAGACAGCACCATTAAAGTCTGTTTACTTGGGAATTAACTACTGCACATTTTGTGAAGACTTAACAATGAGTCGCATCTACTTCTCTAGATCAAAGGTTTCAATTTCCCTTGTTTCAAGGGTTTCCTGAGATGTTGTCCACACTTTTGTTGTATAGTTTTTCATAAACAAAGCTCTTCTCCTCCTGTGTTAAGAAGGTTTTGAGGTTGGGAAAAGATTTATTCTTGAATCATTTACATAGAGATTTTATACCCAACTTCAGGTCCTCAATGGCAGAAGGGAGAGTAGAGTTTGTGCCTTAGGAGAACCTGGAAAATTAGACACACAGGATTGCTCCTTTATAGGAAGGAACATAATAAGTGTTACTTGCCCAGAAAGATGATGTGGAATTACTTCCTAACCTGGTTATCTTTGTTCTAACCTTTTCTAGCATGGGACTCTCCCCTAGACCATTATAATAAAAAGTTTTTCTTTGTCAAACTAGACAACCTATGTTTATGATCTTTTCAAACAGTTTTGATGTAGTCATATTAGATCTCTATTTAGCTTACTGCATTCCTCAAGATTTGTGCTTTGTTGTGTACTTGTATTGAGTTAAATATCAACTGAATAATTTTCACTAAATTGTGCTGTATTTAAATATGCCTAAATAAACTATTCAAAACTGGACTCATGACACTTGAACTAACACTGGCCGTTCATGTTTAGACATATTTCCTTTTTGCTTCTTATGGCTGTTCGGCCGGCCATGAAGGTTGGAGAGACTGAGGAACTCATTAAAAATGCATACTACCTGATGAATCAAAATGGTGGGAGGGCCATAATACACACAATGAGAGATTTTCATATTCCACCAAAGTTTGCCAGAACAAATGGCAGTCTTGAATGTGATAATATGAGAAGTGGGACCTTTAGGAAAGTGAGCTGTGCCCATGTGAATGGAAATAGTGTCTTTACAAAAGAAAACACAGAGAGTTGTTCTGGCTTTTGGCACCAAAGGACACGGGAAAGGAAGAAACCTTCTCCGATTTGCTGCTATACTCTTGAGCACAGAATTCCTAGCTTCTAGAAATGGGAAATAAGAGGTCAACTTTTATAAGCCACAAAATTTATAGCATTTTGTTTCAACAAACAAATTAATAGACAAAGACCAGCAGTGTCCCTTTATACAGGATGATGAGAACAGTTGGAGAGAGAACTGCCTGTATGTGATACATCATCAAAAGTGAACCCAGTGATGATTAACATAGAGTATTTTACAGAGCCCAAATTAAACATAAATTTGGTAAGTATGTTCTAGCTTTGTCACAATAATATTACGTTTTTAGCACTGATATTTTACCTTTATGGTAGAAAATTGATTTTATCAATAGAATCTTTAAAATTATCCCATTTTCAAGTTGAGATTTCATTTCCTCTCCCTATATAGAATTATTTCCTTTTCCATCTCAAAAAAGCTTTAATTTATGAATAATTAATGAGCATATTCAGGAAATAAAAGACATAATTAGATTATTCTCCACTGTTATTGTTGGGCTTTGAACTAAGATTATGTGAGGATATAATGTATTTGTGAGTCTGTCATGGAAACATTGTTTTTGATAGTTCTTAGGAAGGGAATTTGGAATGTGAATACCAGCAAATCTGGGTAGAAACACAGAAATGCCTTCCTCAATTTCTAGAGAGTAGTTAAGAAAAATCAAGTTGCCATGCCTCAGATGTTTATCTGGAAAAAAGAAATATTGATATGCTGTATGTAACTTTGAGAATGCCAGCCTTTGAATCAAGCCTCTGTACCAAATTGTAAACTTGTAACTCTCTTATCAAAGGAGCTGTAATAATAAAAACAAGCCTTGTGGTACAATTTGTACACTTGTACTCACATGTCTGATTTCCATTTCAGTTCTTCTGTATCAGTTGGGAGAGATGATTCAGTTGACTTCTCATAAGTAATCTTAAACTATTTCATTGCTAATTACTTTAAACCAGACAAACCCTATGTATTTCTCTTACTGTATTAATTGAGTGTTAGTTATAGAGAAGTATTTGAAGATGATAAGGAAATACAAAATGCAATTTGATAGAAAGCCAGTAAGCACAGCTACGAAATTTTAAAACAATGATCCAAATTTCACAAGCTACAGGCTCCAAAATTCACAAGCTACAGGCTCCAAAATTCACAAGCTACAGGCTCCAAAATTTGGGGACCTGATGCCACAGATCTTCAGCCCAGGGTTCAGTGAGAGGGCCTTATGACTAGACTAAATTTGATGAAAATAATGGGTGTATTTTCAAACATATTCTTCTTTTGATTAGAGCTCGACAAACAGTATATGTTATTAGTCCCACAAGCTGCAAATATTTGCTTCTCTTGCACTGGAATTGCAAGCACATACATCAAAATCTGGTTTATGATTTTTCCTTCTTTTATTTTATAAACACTTTTATTATATATCTATCCCCCATTCCCTCGTCCTCCCATCCTCCCATGCTTCCCATGACTCCCCAACCCACATCCCACCTACTCCCCAGGAATAGTGAGGCCCTCCAAAGAGGATCAGCAAAGTCCATCACATCATTTGGGAGAGGTTCCAGTCCTCCTTTCTGTATCTGGGCTTCAATAGTATCCCTCCATAGGGAACAGGCTCCCAAAGTCCATTTGTGACCTAGGAATAAAGCCTGGCTCTACTGTTAGAGGTTCCATATACTGCCTTGGCCTCCTCGCTGGAACCTCATTGGTTCAGTCCAATGAGAGTGCTGGAGATATGACAGAAACAGTTGACCTGACCTAATGAGAGGACACAGACCCTAATTGTAAAGTGGGGAAATCTGGTTTATTTTTAATATGGGTTCCTGGGAATCAAATTCAGATCTTCATATTTTCAAGGCAATATATTTTTTCACCTTGTCTAGTTTTCTGAAAAAACTTATTTTAAGTAATTTATGATATAATTAATAAAAATCGTGACGATAAAATGTTCAGCAAAATACTGGGTACACAAACTAACATCTGAACATTATGTGACTATAAATGTTTTTCATTATCCTTGTTTCATGTTATTGAATACCATCAACTTCTGTAACAACAAATAGTAAAAGCACAGTAAGCTACTGAAACAGCAGCCTAAGCATTCTCCTCAATTTCTGCCATTCCTGTTGCTAGATGCCTCCAATTAGGAAAGATAAATTGACAACAAAGAACATTTTCTCTAAGCAGTTTCCCTGACTTTGAGACATAAACCAACATCTCTCTCTCTCTCTCTCTCTCTCTCTCTCTGTGTGTGTGTGTGTGTGTGTGTCTCTCTCTCTCTGTCTCTCTGATACACACACACACAGAGACACACACACACACACACACACACACACACACACATGCTTCACAAGCTAGCTATTTTTCTGTCCATTCACCTCTATAACCCCAATTTCATTGAAACACAGAACAAGCTTCCTTTCTCATTGTCTAATATCAGAGACGGTCTTCATTACATTAGAGCAAGACTATTGATTGTATTTGCTCAGATGTGCTAAAGGGTTGGACTTTTACCTTTCAGGGAACATTTTAAAATAATAAATTGTATTTGAAAAGTAAAGTTACATTCATATCAATAAAACTGAAAAGTATGAAATTACCACTGACCTCTATAAAGGGAGTGGAGTTAAAAGGCAGAGAATAGTCAGATGCCATAATACTGAAAAGGGGAATCAATCCGTATGAGCCATGAAATTCCACTGACCATCCACAGGAAGAATCTCATTTAATCAAAAATAAATAGAAACCATATTGTAATAGTGATGCTCTAATACAACTTATATTTTAGAACCAATTTCACATTTTATATAATAAAAAATAGTTTCAATGTTTCCAGTTTCATACTCTTCATTTACAAGGATCTTATTTTTAGACTATGTCCCAAATGAGATCCTGATTTGCCAATATTATAATAGATAACTTCCTTTATAAACATAAGTGAAAACACTATTAGGGAAGCAGTCAAGAGGGTAAAACCATGTGTAATGTTATGTTGGGACTGCAATGGAATACAATTTTGGGGGATAATAAGATTTTACTTTTAGATTTTTTCCCTTGTTGACTCTTATCTAGTTTTTAAAATACATGATCTAAATAGTTTGCTGCCAAAAGTGAATTATGTTAAATTTAAAAGATCTATAATATTTGTGGCAGAAAAAAAGTGCGGAGTGAGGGAGAAAAGAGGCCAATGGAAAGGGAAGAATAAGGGAGTAATGTTACCTTAAGGTGAGAAAAGCAATTCCATAGGAAAGAAAAATGTGCTTAACAATTTATTTACTAAGATAATTGCAAAACATACCTTTATTTCTGAAAAAAGAATGATTTACAGGTATCCTTCCATTAATTTACATCATATCAATGTTTATCTAAAACATTAGCATTTGCTTAATAACCATACTAATCGAATCAACAAAACAGAAACAAAACTAGCAACAGTAAGAAAATACACAATAAAACAACTTTATCCTCCTAGGAAAATGAATATCTCTGAGAAATATTTAAAATGAGAAGAATTTTGTAATAAAAATTTTCCAAACTTTTGTGATAACTGAAAATTTTTCAGAGGATTCATTAATTCAGAGATGTGTAAGAGACAATGCTGGTGCTAACGTGTTCTGCCCAAATGAAGCTGCATCTTCAGCTCCTAGCGCTGCCGGTTAACATCTGTAAGTCTTCCTTGTTACTGTATTCAATAGCAGGGTCTTTGGGCTTTCCAGTCTCCTTTTACTGTCATTCATCTCTAGGAAATGCTTGAAAGGCCAGGAAAATCGGCTTTCCTCTGCTTTTCTCGATCACTGTATTTACTGATTCACGACTTTTCCTTCCATGCCATTTATCTGTAGCCAGGGCAGAATTGAATGCCTCTCATCTTGCTCAGAACAGGGACTTTCCATCACGTTGCTTCTGAATTTAGCGAATCCCACCAGATCCAAATAAAGCAAGAGATTGGTTTTTAAGATCTTGATGTTGACTCTCAGGATTCATGCCTCATCAATCTTTCTTCCTTTCTGCACTTTAATCTCTGTGTTTAGTCTTCTTTGCCGCAGTGTTGGCACTTTCTCCATGAAAGCCTCTGCTGGAATTTACCTAGCTTTTCTGAGGTGCAGGAAAGAGTACAATCAGGAATGGCATCTGCTCACATTTTAAACATAGTGCCAAGCAATATGCAGTATGCTTATTTCCATTTAGACAGACCCAGTCCAGTGGGTTAACACTAAGATGATAAAAGAGTGATCCATAAAATCTGTAGACCATGTTGCCAGGCAGAGCATGCGCTCCCAAAGACTCTCCACCCACAAAATGTGATTGTTTGTATCCCAACTCTCAGCTTTCCTAGGGAGCAGTTGCTACCCTCCACACTGTTAAGTGATGGGACCAATAAGTACTAAATTCAGGATACTCAAGCAGTTAGATAAGGCAAGACTCCTCAATATTTCCCACTCATCCCTTACCTGAGAAAGTTTTGGAAATCCAGAGTATAAGGTATATAAAATAAATATAGAGTCAAACATTGATAATAAATCATAAAGATGCTGGTCAGTGGTGACACTCACCTCTAATCTACATACTTGGAAAGCAAAGTCAGTTGAATCTCTGAGTTCGAAACCTCTCTAGTCTAAAAAGTGAGTTCCACTCCACAACAGCTAGGGACACACCGAGAAGCCCTGTCTCAAAGAAAATGTCATAAATAAATGAATTTTAGAATTAATCTCTAGTTTGTAAATAGTTTTATGAATTGAAAGGGTATAAGCAATACATGTACAATGAGATGATATGCTTATTTTCACAGCATAAATAAATCTTGAGTGAATATCTGATATTGCAGAACACAGAGACTCTTTAATGTTTTTTTCAGGGTTGATCCATAATTTGGTTATATAATAGTTGATGGTGATAATTCTGCTTCACATAAATGCAACATGAAAATGGAAGAAAAGTATGCTTGTGGTCATTTCAGAAATGGGAAAATCTGTCTTCACACCAAGCTAAAATTAAGTTTTTCATTTTTTTTCTATTTTGAGTCAGCAACTTAGACAGAAATTTTTGAAATCTAACATCCTAACATAAGTGAATCCAGATATCAAATACTTGATACTTACATACAGATGGATGGTCTGTAATGGTCATCCCAGTTTGCAGGAAGTACAACTCATTGTTCTTTCCTGTGTAGAGGCAAGAAAACCACATCTCCCTCGACCAGCAATTCTTCCCTTCATTCCAAATACTTGTCCTTCATTTCATCTGCATTGATGAAGTTAGTTATGAAAACAACTTGCTGTTTGGTTTTTATCAACAAATTTATGTATTTAATTATGTAATTTGACATTCATCTTTGTTTTTGCTGTCATATTACCCAAAGTGATCCAAGTATATTTCATTTTCCAATGACAATGTTGAAATCACAGACCTTTTTCATTTGATAACCATGAAATATGAATATAGATTCATATAATATAGATATAAATATATATAAATAGGGTATTTGTCACTATTCTTGTCAAAATTATATTATTCTACTTCAGTATTCCTACCTAGCACTCAGGACAAAACAAATCATTGAACTATAAAATAAATCGATAGGACAAACACCTTGATAAGTGTGAAGTTCCTGTGATAATTTGAAATACACAGATATTATACAAAGTCTGAAAATACCTGGGATAACAAAAATGGCATTATAGAAATGCTCTACCTATCCCCATCTATCAACCATGCTATGTGAACTAAGGCTAACTACACCCACAGCTGGTTTTAACTTCTGGTTCCTGGATTTGCGATCAACATAGTTGGACTCTCTTATGGGCAATTTCTAACAGGGGACACTCTGTTAAGTGTATCTCAGACACAAGTCCTCTTCCCATAACAAATGCCACCTCAAGCTACAATTCCTACTGGCAGAGTTAGACAAGACCTTGTCATCTCTGCTTCCCTTAGAGGTGATCATATGAAGAAAATGGATGTCTATCAAATCAGCTGAACTAACCTACATCTTCAAAGAATGGTATTTCCATATCTATGTGATGTATTTTCTACAGCATTTTGTGTAATTCTGTGAAAACTCTTGTTCATATTTCCTGTACCTAACCTGCTCATCACAGCCTTTTTCACACCAGACTGTGTTCTCTATTTTTATCTTCCACAAACAAAAGATGTCACATTTCCCTTGCTTCACTCATGACTCTTATCTCTGAAATAATCATCTTCCATCAGTTTTCTTGGAAACAGTTCTTTGGTTTTTCTTTTAGGACTCCATCATAAGCATCACCTAATTCCAAAAGTTGTCTGCCTCAGTTTTCCCATGAGAAATGATAACTTTTTCTCCCTGTGCATCTCCTAAGGAATGTGTTTAACATGTTATTTTAGCAATTTATAAATGTGCCTTTGTGAGATTCTTTGCTTTCAAACAGTAACTTCCGTGAAGTCAAGACTTACTTGGAACCCATAATCTTCTTGTGGTCACAGCATAAATGTTGGGATTGCATGAATTTACTATGCCACTCAGTTATATTTTTAAATTATTACAAGTTCATTGATAAAAATACGAATATCAAAATTACTAAATATGTATGTGTTTAATCAACCAAGTCACTCTTTAAAACAATCATTTTTTATCGTTTTATTCCTAGTATTAAAATAGATTCTTTTATTATACAATATATCCTATGTATTATGTATTATCCCTCCGTCTACTCCTCTCAGTTCCTCCCCACTTCTCTTCCCATTTGAATCCATTCCCTTTCTGTCTGTCATTAGAAAAGAACAGGTTTATAAGAGAAAAAAGCAAAGCATAACAAAATAAAACATAATAAGACAGAACAAAAGCAATGACAACATAGTGGAACAAGGCAAACCCATAGAAGCAAAAAAGACCAAGAGAAGGCAGAAGAGTCAGAGGCCCATTTGGTCACATATTCAGGAGTATCATAAAAATACTGATACAGACCCATGCCATCCCTGTGCATGCTATTTCAGCATCTGTCAGTGCATATAAGTCTTGATCAGTTCAACTGCAGGGCCATGTTCTCCTGGTGTCCTCCATCCTCTCTGGCTCTTTACACTATTTCCATTTCCTCTTCTTTCTCCTTGTGGACTCCCTAGGTTCTGAGAGGAGGGATTTGATGGAGAAATCCCATTTAGACCCCCCCTCTCTCTCTCTCTCTCTCTCTCTCTCTCTCTCTCTCTCTCTCTCTCTCTCTCTCTCTCTCTCTCTCGTGTGTGTGTGTGGGGGTGGGTGGGTGGGTGTGGGTGTGTATAAGGTCTGACTGTGGATCCCTTAACTTAACTGCTGGTTGAGGAGGCTTCTCTGAGGATGGCTGAATAAGGAACTAGTTTCTGAATATAGCAGAATATCATTAGGAGGGATTTTTCACTATATTTTTTAGATCAGTAGTATTTGGTTTTACCCCAGCTCTCTAGAATATCTAGTCTATGGATCTTGGTCACCCAAGAAGTGTCGATATGGGTTCAGTTGGCAGTATGCTAACTGAAATGTAGATTCTCAATCTAGCCAAAGACATAAAATGCAATAAAATCTGGAAATGGGTCACAGGAATCATATTGTGCACCAGAAATCTGAGAACGTCTTGTTCACTAACGACCAAATAGAACTAAGCAAACCAGTGGGCCATCACAAGATTCAGTTTCATTACAACAAAGCAAGCAAGAAATAAGGGAGGTATGTTGTGAATGCAACAGTTACAAGATCCAGTCAATCACAATAAAAGAAATCTGTGCTGTAATAAAAAGCAAACATAGCAGTTATATGGCTAACATCAGAAATGTTTACAATTTTATATATCTTAGTATTCTTCACTCCCTAACAAACTGTAAGAGCTGTTTAAATACTGTCGGGTATTTGTATTTTATATTCATTAGCAACCTCAATTGCTATTGTTATTATACATAGCACTAATCTACATTTCTGTCACTTATATCCTATAAAATACCATTTTATTTTTATAGATTTTATTCAGATTAGAAATAATATTATTTTGCACATCAATTCCAGTTCCTTCTCCTTCCCATACTTCCATGCCTCCCACCAAGTCCCCCCTATCTATTCCCCAGGGAGGATGAGACCCTCCATGAGGGATCATCCAGATCTGTAATGTCATTTGGGGCAGGGCCTAGCCCCCCCCCCCCGTATCCAGGCTAAGAGAATATCCCTCCATGGGACATGGGATCCTGAAGTCTGTTCATGCACTAGGGATATATCTTGGTCCCACTGCCAGAGATCACATAGAATGCACAGTGCTCCTAGCTGACACCCATGTTCGGGGGCCTCGTTTGGTCCTATGTTGGTTCCCCAAGTATCAGACTGCGGTCCATGTATTCCCACTTGCTCAGGTCAGCTGTTGCTGTGGGTTTTCCTAACATTGCATTGACACCTTTTTCATCACTCCTTCCTCTCTGAAACTGGATTCCAGGAGTTTGTCTCAGTGCTTAGTTGTGGATCTCTTCTTCTGATTCCATCAGCTACTGGATGAAGGCTTCAGGATGACATTTAAGGTAATAATCATTCTCATTATAAGGGAAGGGCATTTAAGGTAGCTTCTCCACTACTGCTTAGGTCCCTAGTTGGAGTCACTCTTGTGGATCTCTGTGCAATTCCCTAGTGCCAGATTTCTCTTAAATCTACATTGGCTCCCTCTATTGATGTGTCTCTTTTCTTGCTCTCCCATAATACTCTCCCCCCTCAATCTTCCTGATTTCTCATGTTCTCCTCCCCACTCATCTTTCTTCTACCTCACTCGCACTCCCCCAGTCTTCCCATTTGTTCAGGGAAACTTGTCCCTTTCCTCTTTGCAGGGAGACCATGTATGTCTCTCGTACAGTCCTTGTTTCCTAGTTTCTCTGGAGATTTGGACTGTAGTCTGGTAATCCTTTACTGTATGTCTTATTTCCGTATATCAGTGAGTATATAACATGTTTGTCCTTTTGTGACTGGGTTACTTCACTTAGGATGGTTTCTTCTAGTCCCATCCTATTGCTTGTAAATTTCAAGATTCCATTGTTTTTTTTCAGCTGAATAGTACTCCATTGTGTAAATGTACCACATTTTCTGTATCGATTCTTCAGGTGAGGGGCATGTGGTTGCTCTCAAGTTCTGGATATTACAAATAATGCTGCCACGAATATAGTTGAACAGATGTCCTTTTTGTATAAATGTGCATCCTTTGGGTATATGTCTAAGAATGGAATTGCTGGGTCTTGAGGTAGAATGGTTCCCATTTTCCAGAGAAACCACCAAAATGATTTTCAAAGTGCCTGTACAATTTGCACTCCGACCAGCAATGGAGGAGTGTTCCTCATCTTCTACATCCTCTCCAGCATAAACTCTTATTGGTGCTTTTGATTCTAGCCATTATGACATGTGAAAGATAATATATCAGCGTTGTTTGATTTGCATTTCACTAGTGGCTAAGGATGTTGACCAATTTCTTAAGTGTCTATCAGCCATTTTAGATTCCTCTATTGAGAATTCTCAGGTTAGTTCTGTACCCCACTTTTTAGTTGAGTTATTTGGTGTTTTGGTGACTAAATTCTTGTGTTCTTGGTATATTTGAGAAATCAGCCCTCTGTCTGATGTGATGTTGGTGAAGATCTTTTCCCAGTATTTGGATTGCCATTTAGTCTTGTTGACAGTTTCTATTGCCTTACAGAAACTTCTCAGCTTCAGGAGGTCCCATGTGTTAATTGTCTATCTCAGTGTCTGTACTACTGGTGTTATGTTCAGGAAGCAGTCTCCTGTGTCAATTCGTTCGAGGGTTCCTCCCACTTTGTCTTCAAAGAGGTTCACTCTGGATGGATCTATGTTGAGGTATTTCATCCATTTGGACTTGAGTTTTGTGCATGGTGATAGACAGGGATCTATTTGTAATCTTTGACATGTGCTTATCCAGTTATGCCAGTACCATTTGTTTAAGATGCTTTCTTTTTTCCATTGTAGAGTTTTAGCTTTGTCAAAGATCAGGTGTTCATAGGTGTCCTCAATTTGCTTCCATTGGTCCAGCTGACTGTATTTGTGCTAATACCAAGCTTCTTTCAGTACTATAGCTCTATAGTAGAGCATGAAGTCATGGATTGTAATGCCTCCTGAAGTTCCCTTACTGTGTAAGATTGTTTTGGCTATCCTGGTTCTTTTTCTTTAAAAGCTGAGTATTGTCCTTTCAAAATCTGTGAAGTATTGTGCTTGGATTTTGATAGCGATTGCATTACATCTGAAGGATTGCCATTTTTAC